ACGGCGACGGGGAAAGAGCCAAGTTTTCTCCCAGAGATTAAAGAGGCGGTTTTACTTACAACGGGTGTCGTACCTCAGGCAGGTCCCTGCGCAGGGAGATCCGCTCGCTGAGCGCCTCGTTAAAGCCGTGGGTTTCCAGGCCGAGCGGCTGCTCCCCCTCGGCGGCAGCCCCTTCCCCAGGCTGCAGGGGCAGGGGCAGGAGCTGGGGCTCCGGGTCCCCCTCTGCCCTCCCCTCCGGCCGCCTGCTCTGCTGCTTCACCACCCGATAGCCCTTCCTGGCCTTGCTGTGGTTCCTTTTGCCGGCGGGCGACACGACGGCCACGATCAACTCATCCTCCCGCAGGGAGATGAAAGGCGACAGCCCATCCAGAGGGTAATACTGCTGGCTCTCCTCCTGGGTCTCCAGCATCTCTTGGGTCTCCGCAAAGTCCATCTGGTACCCTTCCCGGGGGTTGAATTCCACGGGCTGGAAGGTCCCTTCCTTGCTCTGGTTGCTGGGTGGTGGATTCAGCGTTGTAACCATCAGTAGCAAAAAGCCCAGCATCAGCAGCAACAAGAGAAACTGCAGCTTACGTGATCCATATCTGCACTTCTTCCTCAAGAACATACTGTTGGTGACAAAACGATACAGATGGTCATGTTAAATATCACTTGGATTCTTTCTCAGACTCCAGTCCTCGGGTTGCAGCAAAGCCCTGGTTTTCACTATCTGCCAAGAGGATTTTTTTTGCTCCCCTCACATTTCACTGATGCCGTTTCATGCTTTCCTCTCTATTTACAGACAAAAAGAACATTCCTATTAATATTGCACTTACTGTAGTAAAAGGTAGCATGGATCCAGTGAGATAAAGTAGATCCTTTATTAGACAGAGCCCCAGCTTACTTAGGAAAGCTCAGGTTTAGCAGATGAAAAGAATAACTAAAGTTTTGATTTTTTCCTTTTTAAATTCTAAGTAAAAAGAAATCCTGTTTCTTATAGTTTCCTTCCGGAGTAGTTCTTGCTTCTTCAAAGTTTCCAGTTGCTGCCTGGATTGAAGCGCCTTATTTCTGAAAGCAGATCTGACAGCTCTCCCCCGTTCAGAGGCTTCAAGTTAACTGTGATCAACAGATGAGAACTAGTCGGTCCCTGACTTTGTTTCACACATAACTACGGCACTCAGTCAGGAAGCACTTTGCCAGACATAATACAGAGCAATGTGTGCGTCTTTCTCTTGGTCCTAATGCCCTCACTGTTCTTGTCCTATCAAATCAAAACTTTGCAAAAGCTGTAAGAGGTGAAATACAAGAAGCAAAATGTTGTATTATAAAAGAAATCAAGGCACACCACGAATCACTGTACTTCTGAATAGCCATATTAAGCTGAGAATGCTCAGTGCAGGAAGCAAGAATTTTATAAACTGAGTAAAAGATGGAGTGCACATGATTTATTTAAGGCTAGATTTACTCATATGGTAATGTGCTAGCTGGAGTATATGAGTATATTTCTTTTTCAATAAATATTTACAGCTGTAGGGATTTTAACACTGACATAAGGATGCCAAATTATCACCTGGCAGACTGAAGTTGTCTCCTCATCCATAAATTTGGTATGGCAGGGAAGCAGCACTTCCAAGTTTTCAATAGTCCAGGAATATCGTGTGGAAAGCCTGGCCTGGAACAACAGCTACTGACACTGAAAGAAAACAACGACTTCTGTGATTAAAAGGGGAGCTCGGTCTCTGAGGTCTGTCTGCTAATGTTGCTGGCATGGGTGCTAGTGGGCACGGACTGTGGCATTTTTTTGCTGCAAGATGGATGCTTGTCCAATGGGAAAAGGGCTGGGACAGTCCACATGCTCCAGCGTCACACCCCTCCTGCTCTGGCAGAGATCAAGTATGGATGTAACTCAGGTGTTACCAACCCTTTTGACACTGGGAGCACAGGATGTGGTTTTTGCATATCTTGCAATATTTGACGAGCAGAAAGCTCCAGCTCCAGGAGGCATGTGATTACTGGAGAACTTAACACATTCGCCTCTTATAAAAAGTACATTCCTAGACATTATAGGTTAAAAAAGTGCCTTGAAGACATGAATGGAGTATACTCTGAAGGGAACCTGGGATTTGGTCTTATTTTATTTTCTTTCCCATTGCTTCACTGTTAGAACTTCTGTAACCTCAGACTATGGTTCCTGGTAAATGACTTTCAAAAAATGTAAAATAAAAATGAGAGGACACCGACTTTTGAACCAAAATGAGTCATGGCCTTCAGAAAGAAGGACTGGATAGAGCACCTTAAAATTGCTGGAGGCATGTAGTGTCTGGCACTTCTGTGTACTCCCCTAAGTGTCTTATACAGAATGCCTTGAGGGAGCGTGGCCAGTCTGCTGTGTCTTGGCACCTTCCCTACCTCAGCTGTTCTTTAGAAGATATAATACTGCTTTAATCATATCTTGGGTAGCAGGAAGATTTAGCCAATATTTTGATACTACACCATTGTATGTGTCTCCCTTTTTTAGCCTAAATTCACAGAAAAGTAACATCCCAACCCACCTTCAGCCCTGATAATATTGCTTTTTATCCTGCATTTCATAGGGGAAAAAAAGTGTTGATGATTTCAATTCAGTAGGGAAGCAGCACACATTTGCATTAAAAAAATCTGAGTTCAAAAGCATTCATTTAAATAACAATATGTGTCAGACATAGAAAGACAAAGTGAAATGGAAATGAAGAGACCTGTCCGAAACACTGCAAAAAGCTGGCACCAGTGACTTGCAAAAGGTTCAGTTTCACAGAGTCCCATTATCAGGCATATGGAAGAAAAGAAAAAAAAGAAAAGAAAAGGAGAAGCTTCAGAGTGTGTGGAATAAATGAGAGACAGTATTACTGGCCTTTTTTCTTTTTTTACTTTTCTGATCTACCCAAGTATTTTGATTAAATTTAATTAATATTTTTGTCCTGACTAAAATATTATAACACAATGCTGTAACAACTCTGATCAAGATAATTCTAGCCTGCAGTGGTAACTACTGTATAAATTCTGTCCTGGTACCTTCTGTGCTGCTGAACAAATACACCTGGGTCTCTCGGGCAGCTTTGTTTCAGCTACAGATGAAAAGAGACCCAATTAACAAATTTACAGCAATCTTTGCTATTTTTGGGCCAGAGCTGATAAGTAACATGCTCATTGAAACATAGGCATATGGAATCTGGCTTTTGAATATATCCTGACCATTTTAACAAAGAAGAAATGAACAGTTACAGAATATGTTTGGAGGTCAGTCTCGTCAATTAAATGTGCAAGTATAAAACACTGGGTGGCACACTTCCAGCAGCCTCCATTCCCTGTTCAGCATGCACATCTCTGTTGAAGCTTTTTCACAACCATCCCCAGGTGTGCACAAAGAGCCTTCCTGAACCATCATGCATCAACGAGACTGTTTTCCAACCTCGTCTCTTAAAAATGAACCAGGAAAGCACTGTGGTTTTCTGTTGCCAGCATACAGAGGAGAGATTGTCTTTCCAATGGCTGAGCCCTTCAGCATCTGAGAGGATGTGTCTTATTTCTGAAGTACACTTGAAGAATAGCATCGCTTTCTTATCACCTCCCTAC